GGTACCTTCTTCCTCGACTTTATATTTGTTTTCTAGCACGTACTAGATTTCTTTTGTCGATGTAGTGTTGGTATAGAGATCGTAGAGACGATTGGACAACGCGTTTCGGATATGGCCAAGACATATCAATTCGTCCTCTTCCCGTTTCTTCATTTTTGCGCAAATTTCTTCGGTATCCTTGTCAGTTGCATCGCGAATGGGCTCTAATTTTGGATTAAGCACATGGAAAATCTTCAAGGTTGTTAATAGAAACTTAAGTTTGTCTTGCCATCTTGTGAAAATTGAGCCATCGAATCTGTCCAAGTCTTGATTCATCATTTTGATGGTGACAAGTGTAGATTTCGTCTCTATCACAGTAATAATAACAAATAACGTTTGAAATTGTTGAAAATTTTGTAGCAATGAAGAACAAAACAAATCAAAATAAGGAAGGAAGGAGATATATATATATCAACGAAGGCTTGAACACCAAATTAATCTCACTGTCTTCAAGCGTTATTTGCCTATTTGTCAATGCTTTTTAAGGATTTCCGACAAACCGTTCGTAGGATTAAACGAACCTTGATGAAGAACACCAAAAAGCAAAAGTGTTTCTTCAAAGTGAACAAGTGAAGAAGAATGTAAATGGTTATGTGAAGACAAAAAAGATCAATATATTATGGATGAACAAGAAATGAAGCTCATATCATTTTCATTATATATATATTTTTTGAACTTTGATCACCTATTTATAGGCCTAGACAAGTTCTCACGAAATGGTGTCAAAATTGGGTTGAAAGGCCACCAATTTTAAATAAAAAGGGTAAAAAACGGCTCATAACAGTCACAATATGTGACCATGGGACAGCATGGTTATAGCACAAGCCCCCCTCAAACTCTCGGGAGGCCCTTATACAACCACCTGGGCTTAATCCATGCAGTCGCATGGTTAAGCCCCCATTTTTTCTTTCTTTTTTGTCATCCATTCTCGAGATTTTGAACAACCAAAATTCTAACAGTCTCGACTCACATCAAAATTTAATAATCTTATCACCATTTAATAAATACATAACATGCATTGTGTAGTACCTAAGAATTTTCTTCATACAGATTGCAAGTCTCTTTCTTTCTGTGTATTTATTTGTAAATAAAGAAAATAAGAATTGCAGAGAGAGAACGAGGAGAAAGAGAGATTACGATGATTGACACATGCATATCTTTAGAGATATGGTATCGAACTAAACATGAAGAGGATGATTACCCGAAAGAACAGGGTTGAGGGTTATTGTACTAATTGAAAGTCTAAGTAGGCACTATCTTATGAGGCAGTCCAAGATTTTGGATAAGAGGACAGATTTTGAGTTTTTTACGGACAAATCAAAGACCCTTATTTCTATTTGATGGAATCCATGGACCATGATTATACTTGGAAAATAAACAGAGAGAAATGGGTATATTTATGTGAAACTGTGACGGATTATGATAAATTTATTAAATGATTATGTTACTTGTACATAAAAATGATACATAATAGATTATATAAAATGATGTAGATGAAAAAGATTGGACGAAAAAGTTGACTGTAATTTTAACTGACAAATAAAAAAGTAAAATGTGGCATTATGTAACATATTATGTAAAATTTGATATACATGTAGCAAAGTCCTTTATTAAATCTTCTTCAAGCAACGAGATTGAAACGATCAAAAATTAAACTTTACACTTGATGAATGATCACAAAGATAGGTATTATAATTCTTTAACTTTTACAGACGGTGAGTGTGTAATGTAAATGCGTGAAAAAGAAAGGAAAAATAGGGAGGGAGAATATTCCCAAAATCGAACAGTCTCAAAAGTTAAACCAAGTAATAGCAGTCAGAATTTTGTTGAAAAAGTGGAATTAGGCTGTCAAAAAGGATGAATTCAAGGAAATCAGACCTCCCTCAATAGTTTCTTAGCCTGTGCACTATAAGGCTTCTTCCAATTATTTTGTTTTGCTTCACCTTTCTGTTTGTGGAAATTACAAGTTGGAAAAAAAAAATGTCATTCGATCTACACTAATTTGTCGAAAGGTGGCAAATAGCAAAGTTGGAAATACGACACAAATGTAATCTATTAATGTCGAAATTTCTTCCTTGAATAAGAAACCTAATCAATCGAAGTGTCATCTTGAAATCAATCTTGTCGCAAGAAAAAAGTTATTTACCACAACTACATGTTTACTAGGAGCACGGCTTGAGACATCTAGTCTTGGCTATCATTTTTTGCATTTTTATCGTAGGGAGTTTTAGTCCGTTGCTCAACTCTCAGTCTTTACAAATTGGCCAACATTGTAATTTCATTTTAATGGGACGTTGCTTGCATCTTCGTATGTGACTGGGTTGAATATGAAGAGCATCCGGTGATTAATGAGTTCAAGTTTTTTAGGTGGGAAATAACTTGATCTTTATTTGCCAAATATTAGTTAGAGATTGAATCACCCTAATGAGTCCAAGTTACAACTACGCCTTTTTCTTTCTTAATTATGTTCAATCCAATATTAAAGTACTTTTTCGAGATCGGAGGCATAAAAATGCAGATATGTATACTATACCATGTACGTATATTTGAACAAAAATGAAAATTTTCGGAGCAGTCTCAAATAAATAATAATTATAGTGCATATATTTATTCGTGAAGAATCCACGCAGTTTGTGGCAACAAGTCAAACACGTGAGTCTCATGGAATTAGATACATGTATACTAGAGTTATACAGCTCCCTCACATGAGAGGAGGCCCTCGATATTTTTAATCACTGTGGGTCCCCCCTCATGTGAGGGACTAATTCTAGTATACAAGTATCTTTTTAATCAATCTTTAATCTCATACTGCTAATTAATTACTTTTGGTTTCTTAGTTATTTTTAATTCATTATTTATACTTTATAATTTGAAGAAGATGAAAAATATATCGACATCATATACATTATTACTTCTTTGTATTTTATCCCCCTCTGTAGTAATTATTTTCCCATTAAAGAAATGGTCCCAATTGGAATGCCATTTCTGGATTTTGTAATATTTAAAAGACTGTCGCTTAATTAGTTTTCAGAAATAAGAGATTATATTGTTTACGTTATTTTGGAAACTGAAAAAGTCTATGGCCTCATATATACATAAATATTTTTCTTTTTCTGCGTCAACGTATAATAATCAGTGTTGTAAAAAGCAATGTCTAAGCGTGCTTAGGTGGGACCTAGGCGTAAAGCGAGTGCAAAACGTCTCGTCTCACACTTTTTCTCTCCCAGTCATGCATAGCACACTTCTTTATTTTTTATAATTATTAGATAATTTTTAGATTCATTTAAAAATTTAAAATAATATTAAAATAAGAAAACATTTTTTTATGCCTAAGCTGAAACTTAGCCTTGACACTTCGTCACGCTTTACGCTTTTTATAACACTAATAATAACTCATATTTCCGTGTTATTAGTTAAATTTTAGGGATTCATAGAGGTGGCAATGGGCAAAGTCGAGCGGCTTCGGCTCACCTATTGAGCAGACCCACTTGGCTCGTGTTCGGACTCGTCCAAATACGAGACCGAGCCGCCCACAAGTAATCTTTTTACAACAGACGAGCCACTTAGCTCGATTGCCACCTCTAGGGATCCATTTCAAATTGTCGACTTTGTCAATCAATAATAGAATCTCAAATTTTTAAGGGACGTGGAACTTTTACCCTTATCATAATCCACCATTTTTAATTTAGCTCTTGTTTGGGGTACTTAAAAAATTGCTAAAAAATTAATGTTAAAGTCTACAATTAATTTTAATCACACAATTTTTATCAACTTTTATCGAAAACTTTTGCAAATAATCCCGTCAATCTCAAAGAAATATATATTTTGAAAATACTTCCAAGTTAATTGTAATTACAAAGCTATAACAAACTTATAATTGGTTGTAATCGCTGGATAATAGAGTAATTAAATTGTGATATTATCATGATTATTCCTTTTTGGATTAATTTCATTTTTGGTCACTGAAATTATAATTGAATCCCAATTTTAGTTTATCTTAATCCGATCATTAAACTTCAATTTACTATCAACATTAGCAAATATATTAGTTCTTATTACTGAAGTTAGCGCGTTAAAGCTACATTGACATTAACAATTTATTGAAATGTGACTGAAGTTCTGTGATAGAATTGAGACAAATTAAAATTAAGTGACCCAATTGAAATTTTACGGAAAATTCAGTGTCCAAAAATGAAATTGCCCCATTCCTCGTTTTATGGTTTAACCCTATACATGGCCCCACTTCACTGTGTTTCTTCCTTCTTGTTGTAAATATTATCCCAAATCAATAAGATCACTCCTAAAATAGGTACTGTCGAGAAATCATGATTCATCTTCTGTACTCTTTAAATCTCTGTGAGAGAGAGAGAGAGATGCGGTTCTAAAGTTGGTAAATTTTTGAAAGTTATTTGGCTTCCCTGCCATCTTTTCAGGCTCATTCTCCAGCTCCCTACTCAATAGGGTGGCTGCTGATTAAGAACTGTTAAATTAAGAAAAATACTTGAAAAAATGCTGTAAGAAGAGATGAATTATTTGTCTCTTACATTATGATTTACATATAATTAAAGAAAACTACAATTTAAGTGTGTTTTGAGCTCACTGATAATCAAGAAACAAATCTCCATTAAAAAGAAGTTGAAGTCACAAACATTCATTCATTCATTCATTCATTCACATCTTCTCTTCTCTTCTCTTCTTTGCTTCTAATCTTAATCACAACTTTTTGTTGCCTTTTGATCCAAGCAAAGAGTGTTAGAAATTCCTCCTTTATAGTTGTCCCTGTCAACTTCTGTCCTTCTCTCCCAGATATCTTTCTGATTGATATCCTCCTCTTTCTATCTCTATCACCCTCCATGTGCTTAGTCCTACCCACACCCGTCTCTTTATAATTCAACATTTCATACACTTTCACCATTTCACCTACCTTCTTCTTCATCTTCTCGGAGAAGTGAAAATCGACAATGGAAACTCAACAAAATCATCAGCAACAGGGAAATGAAGATGGGGGAAACAAAAACAGTAATTTTCTATGCAGGCAAAGCAGTACAAGGTGGACACCCACTACTGAGCAAATAAGAATCTTGAAAGACCTTTACTACAGCAATGGAGTTAGGTCTCCAACTGCTGAGCAGATACAGAGGATCTCTGCCAAGTTGAGGCAGTACGAAAGATTGAAGGCAAAAATGTCTTTTATTGGTTTCAGAACCATAAAGCTCGTGAGAGGCAGAAGAAACGCTTCACTAGTACTACTCCTTCTGCTTCTGATGTCCCCATGCACCACAGATCACCTGCTGCCGGTGTTCGGAAATACCATCAAGATCGGCCTTTCCCTAACAATCTTACTGCTGCAGGTCAATATTACATTTTCTTAAGATCCCACAATCTCTTATTATCAGATGCTCATATAGTGATTAGGGTTCTTGCATTACATCAAGATTTTTGAGGGTTTTCTAATTTGGTGTGTTTTATAATCAGGTTTTCCATCTTCATCAAGTTCTTCTCCGGGTGTGCTGAATATTGGCCCTGTGGCACACCCTGGCTATGGATCTGTAGCCATGGAGAAGAGTTTTAGAGTGAGTACAGTGATTTTTAACCTGTTTATCACAAATTGAAGAAATAGCATACTTTATATTTTGTTTACGGAAGATAAATATCAGAAGGCGTCGTTTCTTTTCAATTATAAATTTGATGAAAAATTACCATGAAGAAGAAAACCCCTAAGTTTATTGGTGCAAAGAAGCATTAGAAGACACAGATGAAATATTACATTTTTCTCAAGAAAATGAACCTTGATGGTGATTTCTTAGTGTATTGAATTCAAGTTTTCAGGGTTTATTACTATGAAAACTTGTTTACTATTAAATTGCAGTTTATAGAAATACAAGTTTTGACCAACGGTACAGGTCTCTTTCTCTCTTTAATTCCATTTCTTGAATTCAAATAAACTAGGACTGTTCCATATCTTCAAGTGTTGATGGCAATGGATCTAGCCTGGGTCAAAACTTTGTACGGGTCGGAGTCGACCCGTATTCTTCAGGAGGAGGCTGCCACCCATTTCTTGAAAAAAGAAAATATGTTGATTACGAAACCCTAGAAGATGAACAGCAAGAAGAAAAACAAGTCTCAGAAATTGAAACTCTACCTCTTTTCCCCAAGCACGATGAACACACTTTCAAGCAAGAAACTAACTTCTACAATGGCTGGCATTATGGCCCGAGGGCCGAAGATAATAACATGGGCTCGTCACGGGCTTCCCTCGAGCTCACCCTCAATTCCTACTCTGCCAGATTGCTTAATTCTCCATGAAAAAAATGTTACCCTTGTTATGAAGGATCTACCTTGTTTACTTTCAACTTTTTTTCGTTTTTTAGTTTCTAATTAAGTGATGTTATGTTTTCTATTCATTTTCGTATTTATAAATTAGTGTCGGAGAATCCAAACTCCCTTCACTATTTGACGTTCCATGGTTGAAAGGTTGTTTGCTGTCATCTTCTGCTAGAAATGGGAATATATACGAGACAAACAAAGCAGAAAGCAAAACCAAATGTGACAAAAATTGGTGAGAATTTCTAAATTTGTACACATACGTTTATGAGAATCCTTAACTTCCCAAAAATTTAAAATTTACTCTGTATAAAGTAAGTTTATGGATCGTAAGAAGGCTTAAGATTATGTCAAATAGGGGTATTACGGGTTTTGGAGATCTAAAAATGTAGAAAGTGAATGTGTGATTGATTGACTGCCATAAAATAACCTTGATTTATTCCCATTGTACTCACCTACTATACTGAAACTCTTGGATCCGCAAACAGAACCAATCACTCTAACGAGTCTAGAAGAATATGCTCAAGGGTCTCTCTTTTGTTAATTGAAGAAGGTAGTCAACTTCCTTTCACTTGGTAAGCAAGTTGGGTCGATATTTTTAGCCGAGCCCCTCATGTTTTTACTGAGGTGCACTCGATCTATTTAAAGTAATTCTCACTTCACTTGTACCTCGGACGGGAAGAGGCAAAGAAGGGCTCTAGCTCTCATTTGAAGTATAGGCTTAACGAAGTTAAGCTCGACCAACGGGATCAAAGATGCTCTTATTTCGCCAAGTCCATAAATACCACGAGGCATATACAAATAGAATTGACCACACCAGATTTCATGCAACTGTGGCTTTTCATGAATGTTTTCATTTTCGCGAAAGGGGGATTGTTGCCAAAAGTCTAGGTCTTTGGTTCCCAGGTAAGAGTCCTGACAGCGTGAGGAATGATTCTGACAGCAGCAAATGGCTGAAAACTGGCGATTTTGAAGGTTTGAGGCAAAAAGGGTTATCCATTCCAGAAAGAGTAGTGGCACAAACTCAGCAACGATGACAAGTCCAGTCAGAATGAGAAGAAGAAGGCAATCGACCACAAGCCGATCATTAGTCAAGAGGGAACGAAACATAAGTAATTCATTTTTTTCATCTCAACTCCCCAGGTGACCACGTTAGTGACTCATACCCTTATGATTAGTGTTTTCCTTGCTTCATCGACACTTGAAATTTGGGCCTCATCAATTTAAGGTTTCAATGTAAGATAACTCTTATAAGTTAGTATGACTCGATATGATCAACAACCAATTCAATTAACGTAAATGCTCGTGATCCTTTGCTCATGCACATTCCGTGGTAGTGAAGACAAGAATTTGATTTACCAGCCCAAAATTAATCCATAGATTAAGCACAAAGCACATGAATGATTAGACTTCTGATTATTACAAAACCATGAATGCAAACAATCATGCTTAAAAGTGTACATCAAGTTTGATAGTTGATCATGTGGCAAATTATTATTCGCTAGTTTTGAAATCGTTCACCATTTTTTGGAAATAAAGGCAATTTCAAATTTGGTTCGAAGGAAGAACGTACAAATTGTAAAATTCGAATGCAAAGAAGTGATGTAAGTAATACTCAAAACTGTTGGAAGGTTGAAGCACGTGGCTGTAGTCTTCTCAGACAGAGATATAGGTGGGTCCCAAATCCTAGGTGAAGCTTAGGTTGAAATACCCAAAATTTAGGAGGCACAGTGTAAAGTTGTTAATAAATTAATATATTGCCCCAAATCATTGTGGTGTTGAATATTAGACACTACACTGCAAAGTGAAAATATAAAGTTAGAATTTGTTGATTGACAATACACGCCGTTAATTTGGAAGAGGATATGTTTCGAAGTTTGTACCATTTTTTGCATCGTAACTTTCACAAATTATTTGTGCGTCATTCCCCATCCCAATGTGTTCAACCACACAATCTTTTATAAGATAATATTACACGTAAATTAAAAAAATTTTTAACCATTTATTTTTTTTAAAAATACTATTATACTCATTTTCATTTCCACAAAATGGGGTTCAAATGAGGGCTAAATAAACTGTCTCAATTATAAAAGTTGATTTTATTTTTCTTACGGATTAAGAAATCTTATCTAGATCCTTGTTGGTGGAGATTAAAATTAAATTTTTAATAGATTTTGATAAAACTTTTTGAAATGTATGGTTGAAAAATTGTGCGAACTATAAAATATGTGGTTAATATTGATTATTTGTCTTTGATTTAAATTAAAATCGAATTTAAATCAATACCGAACTCGAGCTTAATATTATTGAAAAAGTAATTTTTGTCAAAAACTTTTCTAATATGCCCTTGTTTATATTTGTACAATTTCAAGACTAAGTGGAGAAAAAAGTACTTATAACTAGGCAAATTAAATAAGTGTATATTAGTAAATAAAGAAAACAAAACATTCTCAATAAAAAAAAAAGAATTATATAATTGCGACAAAAAAAATAAGGAAAATCTGTTTATATAAATGAGATGGAGGGAGTATTTCTTATAGACCATAGACTACCAATTATACTTTTATTTAAATTTTTTTCAAAAACGAAGTAGATGATTTTTATTTTTTTTAATTAATAGTCCTGTTTGGTAGGAATTAAAATTAAAATTTTGATTTTAATTAAAATCAAGAATTAATTATAATCACATTTAATGGTATTTATAACTTTTCAACTATATATTTTATCAGCTTTTATCAAAATTTATTAAAAAATTAATTTTAATCTCAACCACACGAGCATACTAGAAACTATGAGAAAACATGAGCCCTTGCTTGGTATAAACTAAAAGTTGATAAAAAATAAAATAAAATAAAATAAAATATTAAAAAAATCTAAATTTAAAATTAATATTAATTTTAATTACACTTTGAGATTTTTAACTTTTTAATAACAGATTTCATTAATTTTTATCTAAAGTCACTAAAAATCTAATTTTTATCCACACCAAACATGGGTTAAATTTGAAGAAAATGCATACTATGTCCTCCTATCAATGAAACCGAAAAATTAATCATTCTGATATATTGATAGTATCTCCTAAACACTTCACTTTTAATTAAGCCGTATTTGGTTTAGCTTAAAATAATATTTTTAATAAATTTTAATAAAAATTAACGAAATGTATGATTAAAAAGTTGTGAACTCTATGTAATACGTGTGATTAAAATTAACTATTAACTAAACAACACAAGAATACAATTAAACTATATCTCTCGTACTAAGTCATTTTTTGATTTTTATTTTTTTTAATTCATTTTTAACCACACATTTCATATTATTTACAATTTTTATCTATTTTTCAATCACACATTTTATCAAATTTTATCAAAATTTACTAATAATTTAATTTATGTTCAAACCAAAGAAGGGTTAAATAGACAGAGCGTGCCTAAAGTAACTAGGTTACTTCTTTCTTATATTAGGATACTTAGCTTTATCAAGACTTTCCTCCATCACTTGGATGTACGAATTTGACATGGGTGTCATGAGCTGGCCTAGAACTACGGCCCCAGGAGTGACCTTAAAGGCCCCCCTGACAAGCCTATATATATAAACAAGGGAGGTCCCTGAAAAAGAGGTTATTTCAAGGATTTTAAGGCTGTTATAGGGGGTTGTTAGGATAAATTATAAAAATCCTACTCAGTACTCTTCTTATTTTAAATGTCATTTTCTTTTGATAAAATAATATCCCTTTTTTTTTTTTTAAATCATGTCATCTGAGATATATGAACTTGGACCTAACTCCATTCTTGTAAGGACACCACTGGCACTCCCTTAACAAGAATTCTTAAAACAGTGATCCATTTCCCTCTTCTATGCGTCTCATAGCCTCTTCACTGGGCATTTACGCTTTGAGAGGTCACTCAGGGCTTATTTTAAAAACAGTTTAAACTTTTAACTTTGAGTTAAGTCATGCTCTTATCATATACTCAGCATGAAACATAAAATTTTTTACAAAAATCATAAAACTTTTACAAAATAATGATTTTATAAACAGAAATAGTTCTTATAAGATCTGGAACTAATATTAACTATTAGTACCATATCTTAGAACTATAAAACATACCTACCGGAATGATCCATCAGTAGTTTATAAAATAACATATTTTTGTGGGATATTATTCTATCTAAAAATAAGAACAATTAAGAATTTCCCTTTCGGGAGAGAAAGAAAATTAGAACATATTTGAGAGAATTCAAAACTTCTATTGTATATATTTTCTTGTGTGTTTACAAATGAAAGAATAGTCTCCTTTTATAGGAGAGAAAAGAGAGAGGAAGCGTTTTTCAAAAGCAAGGAATCTTTGCTTTTTTCAAAACGTCAAAAAGAAAACAGTAAAAAGCTATGCTATCAAATCTTACTTTATCAAACAGTAAGATTCTTTACAAATTTTTCAAAAAGAAAACAGTAAATATTCTTCTTTTTGTACAATAATTCTTGATCTTTTCTTGAGATCTGGACAAAAGTCTTCAAGTGGCTGAGTCTTGTCTGAAAATCACCGTAACTTTTTGCCAAATGTCTTCTTTAAGCTAAAATCTAAATGAATCCTTATCTTGTTTCATAATTATGTCTGCCAATGCTGTCTAAAAAGTCTCCTCCATCAGTACAACCTTTTGGATTATCATCTTCTTCTGAATTATTGTCTTCAAAATTATCCAAGTCTTTTTCTTGTTCAATTTTCTTTTTGCCTTTTTTCTTTTTAATCTGTTTTTTCTTTTTCTTTGTAGTACTTTGTTTAACTTGTTGCTGTATTTCTTCAATCTTATCAAACATTTCTTTGATTCTTCTAATATCTGATTGAGAAATCTGTTCTGGATCTTGAGCTGATTGAAATGATTCCGAAAAATTGATTGGACTTTTCTGTTTAAGGTCTATTGGACTTATAAGTCTAGTAGCAGAATTTCCAGTCTGCTGTGTTTGGTCTTCAGAAATATTTTTA